GGCAAGCACTCTACCACTGAGCCACCTTCCCAGCCCTCATCCCATTAAAAAAAAAATGAAAACAGGAGAAAAATTCAACCACTACATAATGTACTATTTCTTTAAAATATTGTTCTGAGAAACCAAAATAAACAGATTCCATTTTTTTTTTTTTTTTGTCGGTCATGGGGCTTGAACTCTGGGTCTGGGCACTGTCCCTCAGCTCTTCAGCTCAAGGCTAGTGCTCTACCACTTGAGCCACAACGCCACTTCCGGCTTTTTTTTCCCTCTTATGTGGTGCTGAGGAATTGAACCCAGGGCCTTTATGCATGCAAGGCAAGCGCTCTACCACTGAGCCACCTTCCCAGCCCGCTTATGTTTTGAAATGCTAACAGAAATAATCTGAACATTTCAGACATTGACAAACACACATGCATAAATTATTAAAATGTGGGCTAAGAAGGTGGCTCAGTGGTAGAGCGCTTGCCTTGCATGCCAGAGGCCCTGGGTTCGATTCCTCACCACCACATAAGCAAAAAAGAAAAAAAGCCAGACGTGGCACTGTGGCTCAAGTGGTAGAGCGCTAGCCTTGAGCTGAAAAGCTGAGGGACAGCACCCAGGCCCAGAGTTCAGGCCCCACCACCAGACCCCCACCCAAAAAAAAAATATATATATATATATTAAAATGTAACGAAGAGCTGGAGAAGTGCCACAGTCCAGAAAGTTTCAGTTGGCTGGAGAGTAGAAAATACCTACACAAATATTCATCAGAAAGAGGATTTTAAGAGCTAGACAAACTAATATGGCCCCAAAGCTGCTAATCTTCAGGTCTTTTCTCAATGTCACCTTCTGCTGGAGGTGAGGATCCATGGACAGAGCACTTCTTAGTCAGCAGAAAGGGCCTGAGTCCAAACCCTAGTGCTATCCAATGCCTCTTCCTCAGAGGACTTAGTAACAACACCCTCGCTTTACTTTCTCCCAATCCCATTATTTTCCAGGTAAGGAAGGGACTTTATCCATTTTGTTCACTGCTGTATGGCCAGTGACAGAGAGGAAGCAGAGCGTGGGCAGTTAGGCAAGTGTATGATGTTGTATTTAAGTTACTAACCTAAACGAATGAAATAGTGAAATAAGTCTTGATTATCAAATTAAGGGATTTCTACCATCCATGTGGAAAAGGAAATGTAAAGTTTAATTCTAATCCACATGAACTTTAAGAAAAAAAACTATCTCATGGGCTACAGCAAAATATTAACTACAGTTAACAGTTTACTACTTGGTTTGATATTTGAAATAACCCCAGCAGTCTGTATCTAAGGATGTATTACATATACTCAACAACTGCTAATTCACTTCTGCAAAACAAACCGATTTCTCCTTGGCCACGTTTTCCCGTTAAGGCAATAGATATGCACTCATCACAAGACTCCGGGTCTTTCCTGAGAGAAGGTGAGGCGTGAAAAGGTCAAGAACAACATCCAAGGGCAAACTTCTCCCATGGGGAAATCTACAAAATTCATTTTTATCCACAACTTTTTAATCAAAGAAGCCCAAGAAAATTAAATGCGGACTACAGAAAATGTACTCCCTAAGCATCCACTCTTTAGCTACTGACCCATATAATAAAAATATAACAGCTCATTTCCTGAGTAATTCCAAGTGGTAGTTACTAAAAACAAACTCAAATTTTAACCCCAAAACAGCTCTACATAGGCTATGTTGTATCTCACACACACACACACAAAAAGCATTTAATCATTTGAAAATGCTTAAACTACAAACTCCTACTTCGAAGTTAAAAAAAAAAAATTAACACACATCACAAATTCTACTCACTAACAAATCACTGACCACTCAAAAGATGCCTATAAAACCCAAATGGCCAACTGCTTTAGCGGCTTCTTTATGCCCCACAGATGGCATTACTTTCATACTGCTTCAAGTTATAACAATTAATCCAGTAAAATTTTAGTTTACCTTTGGCTTGTACACACTAGCTGATTCGCTTCTAAGAGCTCCCTCATGACCTTAGTGAACACCAGTATTTAACTGCCAAAGTTGAGACTATTTCAGAATTATGTAAGCCCAGCATAAATATAAACTCTAAATAAAATATACCCAAATAAATCATTTATTTTGGAAATGCTTTGAAACTACAGTTTATCAAATAGCGCTACTCATTTAACTGGCAAAAGAGTAGTCACTTATTGTTTTTTTTAAACCACGGAAAGACCTCATGTGAAGTACAGAGTAAATGATTCAGTATGCTGAATAGTATGCTGTGACAACATTACTCAATGAAAACCACAGAAAAGGTTCATGGGAACTGAATTATTAATGGCTACACACCACTTAGCCAATATGATAATATTAAGTCTCAAGGCAAGGCACAAGTTATGTACACAAAGGTTACCTCTTGTCATCACTACTTCAAAAAAATGGGCATAACTAAGTGGCACTATGGCTCAAGTGGTAGAGCACTAGATTTGAGCTGAGGAGCTCAGGGAGAGCATGGAGGCTCAGAGTTCAAGCCCCATGACTGACCCCCCCCCTCCCCAAAAGGCATAAAAGTCGTCTTTCCTTCACCTGACATAGATAAATTCCAACTGCTTTGTTCATTTAGTTCTCAAAATAGCATCTCTCTAATATAGTTATTATAAAGACAAGATTGTAAGTCCCTGAGACTTATGCACATCTAACTATACAAAAATAAGACCTTGTAGGCATGTCCATTTTGCTCAATTTGAAAAAAGTTGTGCACTGTGTGATCTCCCTTCCCCCCTTCCTATCAGCTTTTAGTAAGAATTCAAGAGTAGGGAAAGTGGCTTAGTGGTAGAGTTCTTGCCTAGCATGCATGAAGCCCTGGGTTCGAATCCTCAGTACCACGTACACACAAAAAGCTAGAAGTGGTGCTGTGGTTCAAGTGGTAGAGTGCTAGCCTTCAGCAAAAGAAGCGCAGGGACTGGCAAAAAAAGAAAAGAAAAGAAAAGAGGTGAATACAAAAGGAACCCTCATGTTGTTAGATTCAGAACATCAGTGCCCACTCATGACCATTTTTAGGAAAACTACCAAGTCAACTATCCAAGGGAAAAAACGCTATTAAAAAAAAAATTGAATGGAAAAAAAATGTTAATAATCTAAAATATCCCAAGCCATTTTCATCGCCCTTTTTCTGCTGCAGTTCTTGCATTTCATGAGTTTCTTAGCAACCCAGACAGGACTCGAGCATGAAAGCACATACAGAACAAGGGAAAAACTAAGCTGGCTTTTTTTCTTAATATTTAGAAGCAACTACACTGCATTTTGTACACTCACTCCAGGAACCACTCAACCTAGGGGTCCAATTTAGATACATAATATCCCCCTCTCCCCCTTAAAGGTCAGTGACCAAATTTGGTCAACAGTGGTGCCATCACTGCTGTCATCATTCTTGTCACTGTCAGGAACAACTGTCACCTTGCCACTACCAGGCAGGGGAAGCAACTGGAATATTCCTTTTGTACGTTCTATTTACAGACTACAGCACCCAACATCACCTTAGTGTGATCTTACAGCATGATAACAAATGGAAGAACCCCAAACAAAAAGGCCTCCCAATAAAAAATGTTTTGCTACTAAAAGCTGGTAAACCACAAAGATTCCTAAGACCTTGCACACTCAGGAATAAATTTTGTATTATAAACGCCAGGCATCTATTTTTCTGAATTTGTATTTTAAAAATACAAATTTTTGTTTCTAAGCATGGAGCATAGCTCACATCTCTGAATGGTTTTCACTTAATGGGCATTATTTGCTTTCTGGTTTATATATGCAATACTTTTAGCTTTGGGGAGGGGGCAAAGAAAAAATAATAATTTTTCTTTATACTTACAAAAGATATACAGGCTGCCAGCAATAAAATTCTAACTAGTAAGTCTTCAAACTGCTCAATCACAAGTTCCAGCAAGGTTTTTCCTGTTAGAAATAAACGTATTTTGTCAATTGCCACCACAACATGGGCACACAGACTTGCACAGATAACATGTTAAGGTTACTTACCTTCTTCGGCTGGTAACTCTGCAGAACGTAGAATTCATCAGGTCACATGTCAAGAGGGGAAGAAGAAAAAAAAAGACATTTAGCATTATCTTTTAAAAAGGAATCGCCAATATCTTAACTGCTACTGTCTTTGAAAGACACCTTGATATATGCGTGTCCAACACCCCCCTCCCCAAACAGGAAACCTCCAAAGACGATACTTCAAGAAAAATACAGTATCTTCAGTGACCTTAGGTCTGATGGTAAAATATTTCACGGTTCCTGAAACAAGCAGTAGTTTCAGCGAGGTCATCGCTTCTTCCAGATGCGAACCTCGGGTAGGACAAGAACGGCCAGCGTATTTCCCAACCCCAGAGACGCCTCGTAAACCGGCTGGAATCCTGCAATGCCAGCATTTTGGAGAGACCGACGGGAGGATCGAGAGTTCGAGGCCAGCTTGGCTACATAGAGAGTTCGAGGCTAGCCCCTGACTACAAGGACAGACCCTGTCTCAAAAAAACAAAGAGGCGTGGAGGAGGGCGCAGAATACAAAAATCCAATGCAAAACAGAACGAAAGAAATCGGCTGGAAATCAGGAGACTCTCTCGCTGGGCTCAACCCAGCAGCGGGAGACACGTCCTCCTTCCACCGGGGCGGGCGCGCGAGGCCGCCGGCGAGCGGCGCGCGGCGCCCGGGGAAAGGTCAAGGGCTCGAGACCCCGGAGGGGGCGCGGAGGCCGGGCCGGCGCCCCCGCCCGCGGCCCCTCTCCCCCTCGCGGGGCCGGGCACGCGGAACGCCCGCAGCCGTCGGCGGGCGCCGAGCCGAGCCCCACGAGGTGGAGCCCGGTCAGCCATCTTCCCGGCCGCTGCAAGCCCGGCCGGCACCTACCGTTGGAACCCCATCTCTCCTTGAGCTTCTTGACCTGCTCCAGGCTCAGCCCCGTGCTCTCGTTGACGCCGAAGTGGCCCAGCACCTCCTCCACCGTCTTTGTGTGCGCGTTCTCCATGGCTGCGGGGGCCCGGCCGCCCTCGCCTCCCGTCCCCGCGGCCTCCTCGCCTCCGCCTCGCACTCGGGCCGCGGGCTCGTGCCACCCCGGGCGCCCGGGCGCGCTCTGCTCGCCGCCGCCCCGGGCCGCTTCCGCCTGGCCCGGCGCTGAATCACCCGTGGTCCTCCCTCAGACAACCGCCCCGCGCGCGGCCCCGACCCCCGGGGAAGGAAGGGCCTGCTCGGGGCTCAACCGCCGCGGGGCGCAGGCCGCGGCCCGGGCCCCCGCTCCGCACCGTTGAGGTGACTCGCGACCCCGCCCGGGCCGGAGGAGGGGGCGCCGGGAAGACCCCTCGGGGCGGAAGCGAGCGACCGGCGAGGCGGCGGGGAGGAGTGCGGCGCGCCCGCGGGGTCTCTCAGCTCCGCACCCCCGGCAGCGGCGGCGGACACTGCGGCGGCGGAGGAGGAGGCGGCGGCGTCGGGGACGGCTCCGCGGCGGCTGCTCTAATAGCATTTATCGGCCGCTGCCTCCCCTCTCGCCGCCGCCGCGGCATGTGGACGCCGCTCATTGGCCGAGAGCGCCCAGCGCGGCGCGGGCGGTCCGGCCCCGCCCCCTGGCGCGCCCCCGCGCCGCGCGCCCCCGCGCCTGGCCCCGCCCCCCCACGCGCGCCGTCCCAGGAACCCGGATCGAGGCCGCCCGCGCACCCGCGCGCCCGCGCAGCAGAGACCGGCGCCCGCGCTTTGCGCGCTGCGGCCCGGCCGGGGCCGGGCGGGCTGGGCTCCCTGCCGCCGGGTTCCCCGGCCTCGCCGTCCACGGACGTGGGGGCAGCGGGGCTCACGGCGGGCCGCCCCGGGGTCTGCGCGGGGTCCAGTCCACCCCTGGGCTCCCGAGACGCGCGGGCCGTGTCCTTGGCTCGCCCCTCGCCTCGGCCGCTGGTCCGCCTCGGCGCCCTGACCTGTACCCCCGGAGCCCCGCGCGGGAGCCGCGCCCCGCGGCCCGGCGAGGGTGCGCCTTGGGCGGCCGCTGCGCCAGCCGGGCCGAGCGCGGGGGCGCCTGGCGCCGGAGCTGAGGTGCGGCTGCCCGGGAGCGTCCCCGTCCGCGCTGCGGGCCTGCGCGCTCCCGCGGCCCGAACCCCGCTGAGGTCGAGCCACGCTCGAAGGGAACGGCCGCGGGGGAGCAGCCGGACCACGGAGGCAGGACCCCCTCCCCCAAGCTCCGCTGCCCCTCGGGACCCCATCCCTCGGGCCGATGCCGATCACGGGGCGCTGCCGGCCACGTCCGATCTGTCATTATTTCCGAGGAGTGGAGGCTGCCTGGGAGGTTTGATCGATACTTGGAAAAGGCCCAGCAAAGCCGGGCGCGAGAGGAGCGAGGATCTCCGTGCGGGGCGGGGGCGGGGGGGGTCGGCGGGGGCGCCGGGGGAAGCGGTGCCCCGCGCGTCTCGGGCGAGACCCCGGCCCCGCCGACCCCCCCCCCGACCCGGTCCCGCCGACACCCCCCCACCCCCCACCGCCCGCCGCCCCGCGCCCCACACGGCGATCCTCGCTCCTCTCGCGCCCGCCTTTGCTGGGCAGGGATTTGTTCCCTTTCTCAGTCTGGAGGTGGCGGTAAGTTGACTTTGGGACTCCCCTGCGGAGCGCCAGCCCTTCTGATCTGTAAGCGTCTCTTAGAATTCTGGTTCCTGACTTCAGCTCTTCCTTCAGGCCTTCCCACCCTCCCCCCAACCAGATCTCTGCATCCTCGGAGAGGACTACAGTCCGTCCACCTCCAATAACAGTATTCAACACCCCCCCCCCCACCCCAGCACTTATCTCTGAGATGGAGATGGAGATGTATTTGTTTGGCTGTTAATGCCTATCTTTTTTTTTTTTGGTCGGACATGGGGCTTGAACTCTGGGCCTGGGCGCTGTCCCTCAGCTCTTCAGCTCAAGGCGAGCACTCTACCACTTGAGCTACAGCGCCACTTCCGGTTTTCTGGTGGTTTATTGGAGATAGGAGTCTCACGGTCTCTCCTGCCCGGGCTGGCTTTGAACCGCGATCCTCAGATCTCAGCCTCCTGAGTAGCTAGGATTACAGGCGTGAGCCACCAGCGCCCGGCTGTTAATACCTATCTTACACAGCATAGCCCTTGGTATAAGCTCATCAAGTGTTGAACAACTGTCTGCTGTTTGAATGAATGAGAGTCCCTCCAGCCCATCAATCATGCAGGTGGACCTGCAAAGGCTCCACCCACAGGAAGGCCTCAGCAAATTTCTGCTGAATTCCATTTGTGAAAAAACAACAACAACAAAACCTTGGAGGGCCTCTGAACTCATGAAAATGTTGGGTTTAAACACACAAGGTGAAAAACTACAGTGTTCATCACTCCTATTACCGTATTCCACCATCTCCTACACTTCCTGTAAGCGCTTGTACACACTGGAGCCTGCAATACTCAAACCGAAGCCCTGTGATTTTTTTGGGGGGATGGGGGGGGGTCTGGTCGTGGGGCCTGAATTCTGGGCCTGGGCCTGTCCTCAGCGCTTGAGCTCAAGGTTAGCACTCCACCACTTGAGCCACAGCACCACTTCCAGCTTTTTTTTTTACTGCTTATGTGGTGCTGAGGAATCGAACTCAGGGCCTAATGCATGCAAGGCAAGCGCTCTACCACTGAGCCACCTTCCCAGCCCAGCCCTGTGATTTTTTAGCCTAGAATTGTTCCCATGGACATCATTTGTACATCATAGGCCTTTGGTACCTCATCCTGTAGGCCTCTCTAAAACCTCACACCAGGCACTGGTGGCTCACACCTGTAATCCTAGCTACTCAGGAGGCTGAGATCTGAAGATTACTTCAGTTGTAAATGCGGGGCTGTGAAGGTGGTTCAGTGGTACAGTGCTTGCCTCTCATGCATGAAGCCCTGGGTTCCATTCCTCAGTACCACATGAACAGAAAAAGCTGGAAGTGGCTTTGTGGCTCAAGTGGTAGAGCACTCGCCTTGAGCTTAAGAGCTGAGGGACAGCCCCCAGCCCCAGAGTACAAGCCCACAACAACAACAAAAAAAAAACCCTGACAGAAACATCCCCATGGCTGGGGATGTGGCTTGGTGCTAGAATGCTTGCTTAGCATGAATGAAGCCCTAGGTTCGATTCCTCAATACCACATAAACAGAAAAGGCTGGAAGTGGGTGCTGTGGCTCAAGTGGTAGATTGTTAGCCTTGAGCACAGAGAGGCTCAGGCCCCAAAAGCAGCAAAAAAGAAAAAAAGTCTCCCAGAAACATCCCCGTGAGACTTACCTCCAATTAACCACCAGAAAACCCAAAGTGGCGCTGTGGTTCAAGTGGTAGAGCGCTAGCTTTGAGCTGAAGAGCTCAGGGACAGCTGCAAGCCCAGAGTTCAAGCCCCATGACCCACCCAAACAACAAAAACTTACAGGTTGCCAAAACATCATAAACTCAGCTTTCCAAAGACAGAAATATCTGGTTGCTCTTATGTGAAAATAAATTTTATGCATTGTGTCATACTTGCTTCTTTCAACAAAGCTTTAAAAGAACAAGAATAGGTTTTAGAAATACAATCCTTTTCAACAAGGATCGTGGCCATGTTCAATTAATTGGGGCCAAGGAGAGAAAAAAGAGAAACTGTGATTCAGAAAGATGGATGATTGGGTGAAAGGACTTCAAAGACTTGTGTGGCAAGGGCAATAGCAGATACAAGGCCAACCAGCTTTAAAAGCCAGTTGAAGAGGCCCAGCCACTCCCTGATCTCCACAGCCCTCCTGTAAGCCACACAGATGGCAAAAGGCAACCTGTTCCGTGTTTGAACAGCTCTCACCATTAAAGGGGTGAGTCCACCTCCACTCAGCTAACTTGTCTACAAATGTTCTGCTTTAGCCCTCAGGGGCTGCTCTGAATCTGGAAGCGTTGAATCCCTCTCCTGTGTGAAGCCCGTTGAGTATGTCAAGAACTTTAGTGCTCGCCATCTCTTTCCCCAACTACAAAGCACAGCCGGGTCTCTCTGTCATTGTTTCCACTTCTGGGGATGCCCAATACCAGGCATGTGGACGTGGGCTTATGGGGGAATGTCCACTGCCCACCTTTTCTCTGGGTCCTTTCCTCTATACACTGTTGATCTGTGAGAGCAATCAACCCAGATTGAGTCCTTTATATATAAAGTGCATTCATATCAGATCTCTTTACTGTGTACTTAGATTTTTTTTTTTAACCCAGGCACTAAACTCTGCCTATCACTGAATATTTTCATGCTCCTTTTCTATCAGTAGGGTCTGGTCTTCTGGAGTCTACATCTTCAATTCTACCATTCAGAGAGATGGCTATCCACCCCAGAATTGGGTCACACCTAATTTGATAAGCATGACTTCTTTGTCTCTATCCAATAGGATTTCTAGCCATTCATTCCAGATGAAAGATAACCAAATCAGACTTCATTGTACAACTGTTATAGAACACCTTGAGTATAAATGTGTTCCAACTCAAGAAGGCAAAGATCTTGAGACACTGCTGCTTATTTATCCTGATGATATTTTGTTATGCAGTATTGGAACGCATCGCTCTTCCTTTGGTTGAGAACTTGATGTAGCTGTCCTGACTTGAGGATCATTTTGTATGAAAAATACCCACCTGTGTATTAGAACCAATACTCATAATGCACTTTAAGCATCTTACAGTGTTTTGATACCTATGGGTTGCATACATAAGGGACAGAGTTCCACCTGCCATCCCTTGCTTGCTCTGAGATGCACACTTAAGAAGAATGGTAGCTGAGTAGCACACACTATTGAGTTGCATCAACTATGTAGGCCCAGGCTAGCCTCAAATTCATGATCTTCTGGCCTCAGTATTCCAAGTGCTGGGATTACAGACATGCACCACCATGCCTCACTGTTCATAAAATGCCCCATTCTGGTGGTGTTTTCCATGGAAAACTCACTTTGTTAATACACACATTGTGAATACCCCATGCCTGCTAGACTTAACATTTGACAATTTGCCCAACAGAACTTTTTTTTTTTTTTGGTCAGTCATGGGGCTTGAACTCAAGGCTTAGGCCGGCGCTATCTGAGCTATTTCACTCAAGGCTAGCTTCACTCAAGGCTAGCATTCTCACCACTCTAAGCCATAGCACCACTTCCAGTTTTCTAGTGGTTAATTGGAGATGAGAACTTTTCTGCCGGGGCTGTCTTTGAATGGTGATCCTCAGATCTCAGCCTCCTGAGTTGCTAGGATTACAGATAAGAGCCAGCAGCACCTGGCCCAATAGAACCTCTTTTCCAGAACCTTCCTTCTCCTCCCGTTCTCACTTCCCACATTGGCAAGCCTTCTTTTCATGACTGAGTTTTCAGAACACACACTCTTATAAGAGGGATTTCATGGCCATGGCCTCCAAGCCCAGCAGCTTGATCGAATGGTCAGTCGCTGGGGCCAAGCTCTATGCATTCTGTGCCAGGTGGAGGCAGACCTGCTCCTGGTGTCTCCAGCTTACAATTCACAAGTTTTAGGGGTGATTGCAGTGGAAAAAGGCCAAAGGTTTTCCGAGTCACGTGACCACCCCTGGAAGCAGACTGTGGGGCGCCCCCCCCACTCCCTGCGGGGGGTGGGGGGGCGCTCTGTGACCCGGAATGGGGAAGTACTCCCCTGCCATGGTGGCTCTCAAACCTTGGCATTCCTCTGCACCCCCTAGAGCACTGTGAAAACAGATTCTAGCCTGCCTCTGAAATCCTCAGTAGGTCCCCGGTGAGCCCAGGAATCTGCATTCCCACTCCGCGTCTAGCGTGCAGCTGCTCCTTCAACCTCCTCAGGCTGCTGAGTAAGGCTGCCAGGAAAACCCTGGTGCTGAAATCAGTAGGCCTGGGCTCTGCCTGCAGAAGCCCCACCTTCCTTCAGGATCAAGGTCCAAACAGCACCTCACTCTGGAGGCCCTCCTGGGTTATGGTTGACCCTCAGCCCCCCAGAATTCAGGAGCTGCCACTCCTCTTCCTCTGCCATGCCTTCTCACATGCCCCCCACTCCACTCTAAAACCTGGGGCACCCCAGACTTAGGTGAGGCATTCTTCCCTACTACCACCTTTCCTTACGCCCATTGTCTTAAGCCCCGCCCACAGGTTGATGACATACACATTTCCATGTCCAGGCTGATAAATGCAGCTGCCACCTTGCATCTCCAGCCCACGCACGCCCATGCAAGCGTGACAAGGGCGGCAGGTGCCACCTCCTCCCTGAAGGAGGCCACTGGGCTCTTCAGGCCCAAGAAAAGTAGCAAGGTGGGCAGAAGGAAGAGCCAAAGGACAGCTGCATGTAGAAATAGTTTTTTCTTTCTTTCTGTAGGGTTTGTGTATCTCAGCTACCTGTCTTCTCCCATAGGCACACGCTAGGAGAATGAGGATCTATGCACTTAGAAGGCCCACAAAGGTTACTGAATACTTTTTTTCTTTCTAGTCCTGGGACTTGAACTGAGGGTCTAGTTGCTGTCCCTGAGCTTCTTTTGCTCAAGGCTAGCACTCAACCACTTGAGCCATGGCACCACATCCAGCTTTTTTCTATGATTTATTGGAGATAAAAGTCTCACCGACTTTCTTGCCCAGGCTGGCTTCGAACTGCGATCCTCAGATCTCAGCCTCCTGAGTAGCCAGGATGACAGGCGTCAGCCACCGGCGCCTGGCTCTGCATGAGCATTTTTTCTTACACTGAGAACCTTGAGTCCTCACTTTCCTTGTGTCTCTGGTGCCTAACACAGCACCTGGGGTGAGGCAGGGACTCTTACCCAAAGTAACGAAGCCCTCTACTTCCTTTGCAATTATTGCCCTGAAAAAAAAAAGTTACCCTCTTATTAAAAAACATTACTCTCTTAAAAAAAGAAAAGAAACCCATATAAGCAGTGCCAAACAAAGTACTGTGGGATGGCTTTGAAACCCATAGCTCCCGGATGGGATAATGTGGTTTAAATATAGCAGCTATTTTTCCCTCTAGTCGGTCTGTTCTTTGATTTTTTTTTTTTTTTTGGTGGAAACATTTCCAAAGTTCTCCTTTGCTGCTTTCCTCACCAAGCTCCCCAAAGTGCGGTAGACCTCAGCAGTGAGCTGCACCAAATGCAGACATGGCTGTCTGGGAGGCAGGTGCGACTCAATGCAGCCACCCTTGTGGATGACCAGGCTTCTTGACCTGCTGGTGCCAGGCTGGTGTTCCCAGGTAGAGTTTCAGGCTGCTGGGAACCCAAGGATGGACGGAGCATGCTGTAGTCAGGGTACCAAGACAAACTCCTACACAAGATCTTTGTTCCCAGGCTGACCAGCTCCCATTCCAGAGGTCCCATAATAGAAAATGGGACGGGGGCGGGGGGGAGGTGAAGTAGTGGTAGGGCATATTTAGATCACTTATGGTGATCTTACTCTAGCTAGCTACTTGATAGCTCCCCCAAGATCGTGGGGGCTGGCTGCCTGCCCAATCACCCTGTGATCCTCTCCTCTGGGGAGAAGGGGAGGAGGGGAACAGTGCATCCTGGGAGCGGTGTTTCTGGCATGCCTCATCCGCTCCATCTGGGAGGATGTCTCCCAAGCCCCATCTGGCTGCGGAGTCTGCAGGCTGAGGGGCTGTCACCCCCAGCACGCGATCCTTCATGTGCCCCACACGGAGGCAAGGCCCAGCTGCCCCTCACCCCTGCCTCCACCTTCTCTTCTGCAATGCCCTCTGCCTCCTTCTCCCAGTGTGTCTTCACTCCCTCTCAGCCTTCTCCAGAGATGGGCTTGACGGGGAGACTGTGCACAGGGCAGGCCCCGGGAAGCGCCATTCCTCAGTGTCATCTTCCTGAGCCACCCAGAGCAGGTCTTGATCTGGAAACAGATCCCCGCCCTCCGTTGTAAGGTCCGGTCCTGGGTGTTATTAGCTAGAGTCCCCGACGCCCAAAATCGGAGGCTCCCTTCTCTTAGCTGTTTCCATCTTGCACGCCGGCAGAACCACTGTTGGTCCAGCCTTCTTCTCAGGTGCATCTGCTCTACCCTGGTGGGGGATGGGTACAGTACCAGAAAGCAGAGCTTGGCTGGAGATGTTTGCAAACATTAGAAGTTTCTATGACTCATCGGGAGGAGAGCAGAGCCCTCCCTCTTCCTGGAACGCAGCAACCCCATAGCTAACTCCTACCCCTACCTCCCCAAATTAAACAACTCCTGCCCTTATCCCCCAAACTCGGACTTACCCGCAAAGATCTGACATGGCCGTTGGGAGGGGGCATTTTGAATCCTCTGACCTGCTGAGAGACTGAGGCTCCGGGCACAGCAGAGCATTCATGGCATCTTGTGGTGAAGGGGTCTTTTCCAGAAAAGTCTTTGTCTCCCCTTTCTCTTCCCCTTCCCTTCTTACTTAATAGCTTCCTAATATAAAACCCGGGACAGACAATGTGGGGAACACTCCAGCAAGGCTTGATTCCAATGGGACAAGAGAGTTCTAAGAAAAAAATAAACAAAAAACAAGAGTAATTCATTCACATATATGTGTGTGTGTGGCACACACACACACACACACACACACACACACGTGAGATAATGAGGGGCGACAGACGGGCACTGTTTTCCATGCGCGCAATCCGCTCGGGGCTCGCATGTCATCTTGCTCCGTCCGTGCGACAAGCCTGTCTGTCCTTATTCTTCCTTTTTTCTGTAACTGAAACTGGTTCTCATAGAGCTGGTCATGTGCTAGGGTCACACAATTAGAAATCACTGTTCAATAAACGGTGTGGGAACAGAAGACGGGTAACATGGAGAAGAATCCGCTCTTCACGTGAAATGCCATAGTTTTCTTACCAAGACAACTAAGCAGTACCAGAAAAGCTGTAAAAGAACTCAAAGAAGCAACAAAAGCTTTTTGCTGTGGAGGGGAGATACATTTCCAAGCACTTCAGACCTAGCAACATTTTAAATCGGCCTAGTAAACGGTTACAAGACAAAGGGAAGGTACAGTGGGTGGAATTTTGCAGGCATTAGAGGACTCGCGAAAGCTTGAACTCCAAGAGCAGGGCCTCGGACTCCATGACTATAGGATGGACTCGCAGGCTTTTACTTTCTGGTCGCAGATGTGTCCCTTCTCCCCCACAGAGTGGCCATCACTCAGCCCCCTGGGGAGAGGCAGGGACAGCTGTGGTTCCCAGCAGGGTGGGGCTGGGGAAGGGATGGGCAGAGTTTCATCCCAGACCGCTGGGAAGGGAGGCAGCCTCAAGCCAGCACACTGCTAGGACCTGAGCTGGAATTCTGCCAGGCAATAGGATTAACTTCCCAAGCACGGGCCAAAAAGGGCCCAGGATTTTTATTTTTATTCATTTTCCATTACAACTGCACAGCAACCCAAACAAGGACCCAAACAAGGTGAGCGGCCTCCCAGCCCTCCTCCTCTGTGCAGTGCCAGGTCAATCTCCACGCCTTGCTGACCTCATCTCACTCAGGGTTTAAAGTGGAGAATCTGGTTACACACACACACACACACACACACACACACACACACACACACACACACACACACACAGAGGACAGGCCCCATGAATGCCCAGCTAAAGCAGCATGCACCCAAAAAGAGAACTCCAGCAAGGCACACACATGGAGCCCATTGTGCCCATGAGAAACTAGTACAAATCCTTAAAAAGACAGGCCTTGCTCTCCCAGACCCCATAAGGCCCAGGGTCTGGAAGAATATGGCCTTTAGCAACTCATTGTGAATTAGAAAGAAAGTGAGCACCAGCCTTGAGTGAAAAAACCAAATGAGTGTGCAAGGCCCCAAGTTCAAGCCTCAGTGCTGGCACAGAAGGAAAGAAGAATGAAAGAAAGAAAGAAGGGAGAGAGGGAAGTAGGAAGGAGAGAGGGGAGGAAGGAAAAGAAAGAGCAGGGATGGGAAGGTGGCTCAGTGGTAGAGCGCTTGCCTTGGGTGTATGAGGCCCTGGGTTAGATTCCTTAGTACCACATAAGCAGAAAAAGCCAGAAGTGGCGCTGTGGCTCAAATGGTAGAGTGCTAGCCGTGAGCTGAAGAGCTGTGGGACAGCGTCCAGGCCCACAGTTCAAGCCCCAGGACTGACAAAAAAAAAGAAAGAAAGAAAGAGGGAGCAGGGTGGGAAAGGAAGGGAAAGAGTGGTTAGAACAAGATGCAGGCTGCGGAGACTCGTGGGGAAGGACAGGTGTGTGTTTTCTCTTGTGACCAGGCCTGTTCTTCCAGCTGCTGCATGATTCAATGTTATCAAAGATCTTTAAAAAAATCATGTTTTGGCTGAGTGTCAGTGGCTCACACCTGTAATCTTAGCTACTCGGGAGGCTGAGATCTGAGGGTGGTGGTTCAAAGCCAGTCCTGGCAGAAAAGTCTGTGAGACTCTTATCTCCAATTAACCACCAGAAAACCAGAAGTGGCGCTGTGGCTCAAGTGATAGAGCGCTCGCCTTGAGCTGAAGAGCTGAGGGACATCACCCAGGCCCAGAGTTCAAATCCCATGATCAACAAAACACACACACAAAACCCAGAAACAAACCAACAAAAATCACATTTTGTAAACTGTAGAGAAACAAATTCAGAGAACTGCAGCCACTTCGGCAAAGCTATTTTAACTTATGTCTCCATTTCTACATTTGTCGAAAGTTGAGAATGAGTCCTGAGTGAAAACCCCAGTACCAACAAAACACACACAAACACAAATTAAAAACCAACTAAAGCAAAAAGGACTGGAAGCATGGCTCAAGTGGTAGAGCACCTGCCTAACAAGTACAAGGCCATGAGTCTCCCAGCACTACCAACAGGTAATTAATTAATTGAAAGTGAACCATGGGATCCACTTCCTGCTGTCCTGTGTGAGGCGTACCACAGCATAGGAGAGGTGTTACTCACCTCTGTCACCTTGGCACTGAGCTCAAGGCCCAGCTCTCAAAACGTAAGCAGTTAGCTTAATCTCACAAGAACAAACCCATCCATTAACAGTATGGAGGATGCAGAGGCTCCATGCACCTCCCCCACTTTCGATAAGAAACATTTCAGACATAGAGACAAGTCCAATGAAAATAAACTCCACACCCACGCACTCACCAATGAAGACACAGGAATGAGCGGCTCAACTCAGTCTCTGTGAGCTCCTGGGCCTCTTTCCCCTCCCATCCTTCCCAGGGCAGTGAGGATGTTTAGTCTGCACTGGTGTCTTTCATTCTCATGCCTATTTTTGTGTTTTTACTATAGATCTGTAAAATCACAAACAATTCTGTAAACGATCACAATTGCATTTTGCAAATTGTACATAAACCTGACCGATTCTGTGCATATCCTCTATCTTAATTTCCTGGGTTGTTAAAGGTTTCCTCGTATGGATACACATAACCCTAATGGCTTCCTTTGGTTTTGCTTTGTAGTTATATATTGAAAAGAAACGAGTAGAACAACATAGAGAACTGTCCTTGTGCCTGCCCCCCTCAGAATTCTATAAGTAGTGTATGTTTGCATGCATGAGGCCCTGGGTTTGATTCCTCAGCAGCACATAAGCAGAAAAAAAGCCAGAAATGGTGCTATGGCTCCAGTGGTAGAGCACTAGCCTTGAGCTGAAGAGCTGATGGACAGTGCTCAGGTCCAGAGTTCAGGCCCCATGACCAGCCAAAAAACAAAACAAAACAAAAAAAAAAAAGTACTCAGAAAGGGCCGGAAGTGGAGCTATGGCTCAAGTGGTAGAGTGCTAGCCTTGAGTGCAAAGAGGCTCAGGAACAGTGCCCAGGCCCTGAGTTCAAGCCCTGGGACTGGCTAAAAAGAAAAAAGAAAAAAAGAACCAGATAAACTTCACAGGATTTGTCCTCCCAACCCTTTCCCCTATTCTTTACTTGGAATACTTCATATTTATCTCAAAAGCAGAACGGTGTGAATGTCCAAAAACTTGCATATAAACTTGCCCATTGATCCTTCCTCTGAGTTGCCTCCATCATTTCAAAACTTTAGTTTCCCTTGGGATCATTATACGAGTGGTTGTTTACATTAAATCATGTATATTTTACTTGTTGGCAATTTAAAGAACTTTCGTGTGTGTGTGTGTGTGTGTGTGTGTGTGTGTGTGTGTGAGAGAGAGAGAGAGAGAGAGGTGTGGTGTGTGTATGTGTGTGTGCGTGCACACTAGTCCTAGGGTTGAATTCAGGGCCTTGACATTGTCCCTGTGTTTTTTTTTT